TGCAAACCCTGACGGCGGAGCTCCAGACGGCTCAAGATGCCCAAGACCAAGCTGCGTCTCTACACACTGCCCAACTTCAGACCTTGCGGACCCAAATCCATGACCAAGCGATGGAGATCCAGGGGTGGGAGCACCGTGCGGCCTCTCGGTCGCAGGACCTGCGACTCCTGTTGGCTGATCAGAGCGCTTTTTGCTGGGGTGGTCTCTTTCTGCTATTTTTTCGTTTGATGAGGGTATACTGCCGTCCACGTCGAAGCGGAACACGACCCGGATGTTCATGGCCGACAAGCCTCACCGCTACGGGTCCAAACTATTTATGGTCTGTGACGCGCAGACGGCATACTGCCACAGGTACGTTTAAAATTTGTATGTCGTAACTATCTACTTTGTGTTTGCCTGACAACAGTGAATGTCGTAACTATCTAGGTTCGAAGTTTATGTGGGTAAGCGTGCATCTGCTGGTGGACCTGACACCTCAGTTGACTTTAAGACTGGAGCTGCAGCCGTGGTCCGGAATTTGAAGATTGTTCTCGCCCAGTCTCGTCACAAGTGGCATACCGTCGTAATCGATCGCTACTACTCGTCCGTGCTCCTTGCGATTGAGCTCCTGAGTATGAAGGTGTATGTTATTGGCACGATCATGACTAACCGGCTTGGATTCAACCCGAATCTCAGGGCTACGAGCAAGACACGCCCAGTGAGCATACCCCACGGTACATTCTCGTTCTCTCGCTCTATCGCCATCCCGACCATGATTTCCTGTGTTTGGTGGGACCGGAAGCCCGTCTATTATCTCTGTACGGGCTCCATTATGGCGGCGTCGACAATTGAGCGAAAAATAAAACGTATCGGTGCGGTTCGAGTGCCGTGCCCCTCTGCTGTAAATGACTACCAGAACTGGATGAGCGGAGTTGATGTCCACGATCAACTCCGTCTCCAGTCGTATTCACTGCAAATGTCGACGAGGTTCACGAAATATTATAAGAGCCTATTCTTAGGTTTGCTGGACATGGTCATGGTAAATGCGTATCTTACGCACAAAGAGGGGGCCAAGATCAAGGGGATGGCTGCTATGAAGCGCTCAGAGTGGTTTTGCGTCCTTCAAAATCAACTTCTCCAACTCAAAGCCGAAGATTTTGCTGGAGTGGAGGCAACACCGCCTCCTGCGAGCCAAAAGCGCCAGCGCACCCCAGTACGCCTCACGCACGCGCTGCAGCAGTCTGAAGATTGGGTTACCGTTACTGGGGTCCAGAAACGCCGGCAGAGATCGTGCAAGGTCTGCGCGCTCTTGCGTACTGAAAAGAAGAAGTCCTTCGCAACAACGTTCTTTTGCGAACGCTGCTCCGTTGATAATGCGAAATGCTGGTTGTGCAACCGTATTCGACGGGAATACAAGGCGTTGCGAAGACATGCTATGATATCTGGAATGATGACTTCGAGCCGGGCAGGCTATCCCACCCAAATTAGGGAAGCGCATTGTGGTCCCGACGGCCCCGGCGGGAAAGCTGGGCCAAAGAAAGGAGAAGGCGACGGGAACTTCCGACTTGGGGCCCGGATGCTGGGAGGCAGACAACGGACAACGATGGGTGACGAAGGGGGATTGGATAGAGAGAACGGAGTGGAGCCTCGGTAGCCGAGACCAGTGTGAGTTAAGGGATCTGGTTTCAGATACCCAACTTTCTTGGGAAACCATGCATACCCTTTCGCCCGTTTGCGTTATCTTTGGATTATAAG